TGGTGCCTTTGCATAGCATCACCATTTTGGTTGTCAATGCGCGCCTTGACAACATTTTGGTCACAGCTGTCAAGATGACAAGCTAAAATGCAAGGCAACAGCAATGCAAACACCTTGCCTCAATACTTGCCGATAGAGGTTTTTGACAACCGTCCTTCACGTCTACCCCATTGGAAGGGCAGTTTGTGCTGTTGGCTGTGGGATCGCTTAACAACAGCTACAAGTGCAGTTGGAGAAGTGCCAAAGCTACCCCTCATAAATCATTGTTCCGAGGTTGAGGCTGCAAACACTGACCACCACTGCTGCATCTGCTGTCAAGAATTGACGAGGAGGGAAGTAGATGCTTCCTTGTTGCCTCACTTCCTTGCCATCGGAATGCTGTACCTTGAAATGCCTGCATCAATGAGGGAAAAGCGGAAGGCGGCTGCAGCATTAATCATTGCCCTCCAACTGGGAAAAAACGGTGATGCGAATTTTGAAGCAGTGATTCCATCCGGGCCGGCTTTTTTACTGCTTGCGCGAGATCACCTCTCCCATCTCATATTTCGCAACAATTCTCCTACCAAGTAGGAATCACAACGATGAATTGGCGCAGTGTGAAATCGTGGTGATTTGGCTGTGCATTTTGGATTCAAGAGTCAAGAGGGTGAGGAGTAGGAGGAGGAGGAGGAGGGAGTGGATGGGCACCATCTGCACACTACTTGCATGACGTTGGTCAGCCTTGAGGCAGGTGTCCGGTGGATGCGGCACTGATGCTCCCAAAGGGACGTTGTGTTCACCTCCACGGTCATCGGAACAGCTCAACAATCCAACTGATCCCTCCACTGCCTCTGGCATCACCTTCTGCTCCATTTGCCCTCGCTCAAGCTCGTGGCAGCAGTGACAGCCACTCACTCGGGTGTCAATCTTCGCGCATTCCTCTCATTGACATGCCTAAATCGGGACACAAACTTAAGCTGACACGGTTCGGTTCATGGGCCGCCTTTCCATCCCCAGGTACTGGCGATGCGCAAGGAGAGAGAGAGAGAAGTTGAGGCACCTTACAACCAGCTGGTTGGATCAGCTGCATGTTTCCTACTTACCCTTCGCCACAGTCCACAGCGATGTTACTTACACCAGTCACGTCGACAGGATTGTCGACATCCTAATTTCTCTCAAGTCCTCGTCATCACACTTACGAGGTGTCAATGAATTAGTCTTCCAAGCGCTTTGCTTTGTCCCCATTAAATACTTTGTCGAAGTCTGTGTGCCTCATTTGAATCAGGAAGGATGGTCCTTGCATAACGCACAAATTTTACTGTCCCTCCCACCTGACTTCCACTCCCGTGTCAAGCGAAATGGTGCGAAGGGTGCTTCCCTCCCTGCCAATGCAGCGTTCAGCATTCAGACCCAACAGACGAGTTCGTTTTCCCCATCCTCCGAGAGATTGTGGGCAAAAGCAGAAGTCTAAGACAAATTGGGGAGGCGCTGAAAGATCAGCACACATTCCTTTTGGGTGGCGTCAGTAAATCGGTCCTGACGCCGAAGCAGTGAATGAATGACTCGGT